GGGGTACAACCCACCCACCCCCCGAAGTATTGAGGGGCACGCTGCCCACCACAAAATTGTTTCATCTTGGCCCATTTCCCCCTCTGTGTGTGTCTTTCACCCACCGATGACCATCTCTTCAGGTTGGTCTTGCCACGGCGTAACGATGGTTCTAATCCTGTTGGTCAAATTGTAGCAGAAAAGTGAGACAGAAACTCATGAAAGAACAACGCAAGCAGACTTAAGTCAAAAGAATGTTTTATTTCAGGAATACGGCATAGCAGGCACACACACGCACTCACACACACACACACGCACGCACACGCACAACTGGCATACGAGACAATAATAATGGACAGGAAAACCACTAGTTAGTGCTGCCTTCAGTAGTCACCACCAGTTGGGATATGGCAGGGTTCAGCATTGTCGCCGTTCCGAGGCAGAAAGCAGAGGCGAAACTGCCTCTTGTGCATGCGTTTCACAGACAAAAGTGCCGTCATAAGAGCCAAGTCAAAGAACACCCCAAACACCGCCTTGTCAAGGTCAAAGAAACACCCCATGCCTCCTTTCGTCAATCCCCAGCATTTCCCCAACCCCGTCGGTTCCATGGCTTAATTGGACATGCAGATTTACATCCTGTACAGCATCATTTTGAAAAGGAGAAAAAAGAATAATAATAAAGATAAAGTGAGAATAGATGAAAAAAAACGGCTGTGCCCCACCTTCCCTGCCATTGTTTTATCATGGGTTGGACCTTCCAGAATCGGACAGGTCCTCCTTTAAGGCTTGGAGAACCAAAGTCATAATACGGGCGAACTCCTCCGTAAGAGGAACTCGGTCGCCAGAAGTTCAGTCTCTTGCTAGAAGCAAGACACGTGGAGAAGGCCAACTAAGGCTAGACTCAAGGATCCAGAGCTCTCCCGTTCTAAGAAAAGAGGTTTGATTTCTTGACGTTTCCTCTCCCGAAAAAGGCGCACGGCGTTGGCCGTCGTGTCTTTTTCATACACGGACATTCCTCACATCGACGCAACAAGGTACTTGATACGGAAACCAATAGTGGAGGAAAAATAAATACAAACGCAAAAAAGCCAGCAGATAGAGGACGGAAAATCTGTGGAGATCTCTATGCATGCCAGAAGATTGTTCTAGGTTGGTTGTGCCCACAATCCTCTTATTTGGTAGCGTTCAAATTCCACGCACGTGACCAAAGTTAAAGAGTTAGTGAAGTAAGGCAGGTTTCAGAATTATAGAGTTGTATCAGGCAGAAAATCTTCTTTAAAATTCGAAAGATGCACTTCTCCTGTGAAGGCCCTCATGGACAGGAAGACCACGAGTTAGCGCCATCTTCCATAGTCACCACGAGTCGGATACAGCAGCGTTCGCCATCATTACTGTTTGAGGCAGAAACGTGTCAAAACTTTTTTTTCTTCCACTTGAGGACTAGTAACTTTTGCGAGCACATTATGAAGAGAGGCGTAAGGCAAAGAGTTCTTTGGCAAAACCAGGCTTGGACAGAGGGGTGTGTGTGAAAGAAGAGTCGCTGTCACAAGGAAAGCTTCTAGGGTTGCATAGCTGTGGAGTAAGAAACATGGGTCCCTGAATGGCATCATTCCGTCAAGGCAAAGAGAAGCACTCAGCTTATATACAGAACATTGTTTAAAAAGTATGCCAGTCAGAAGGACGGCAAATACAAATTGACCCATGCGTTTTCTTTGCCCTTAACGCCTCGACACATGAAGGTCCCACTAAGAGAACACAGTGCCTTCCTCGTATCTTCCTCATGGAGACATTCAAGCAAAGGAAAGGCATTCAAAACTACATGCTGACAACTGGGGCTGGATCTGGCCTTCATCTGGCCTCATCTTACATATGCAGAGAGAGAGATATACACAAATGGATAGTCCTTCGCCCACCCACCCCACTACCATGGCAATGCAAAGTCTATAGTCCCAGTATTTTCATATTAAATGCTGTAAAAGGTAGATTACAGTGAACACTATTTTAATAGTGAACACTATACATAGCACAGTCTCTGGCTCCCTCTTGTGGCCAGTTCTGGTCATTTCAACTTTAGAAAGATTTTTCTTTTTATGTTTCTAGACCGTGGATGAGTGAATCAGTGGATACTGATCCTGTGGATAAGTGAATCCTTCTGTATAACCAGAGACATACTTGCAAATACCAGCTAGTTGTGTTTCTCAGCTGCTACACAACTGTATATCAAAATAAGGGAGCTAGGAAAAAATATTGGGGGAGGGGGGGACTAAAACACCCAGCATCTCCCAAGCCAGAAAATTACTAGGCATACATAAATGTGAGGGCAAAAAGATTCCTGTCATAGGAAGCTGAATAAAACATGCCAGGTGCATTTCCCCTCAGATGGTGCTCAATGGCGGTTCAGTAGAACCATTGTAGGTAACAAAAGTGAAAGACAATCAATTTGCCCTATTTCCCCCCCCCTTTAAAAAAATCTGCACTGGCTGTCATCATCCACACATTCTTCACAAATCCTTAGCTCCGTGTGTGAAGCCAGAAAGGCTTTTGAGGCCAATTTTATTGCCAAGAAAATACAATAGAATCCCAGTATCTCCAAACTCCCGCCTCCTCTGGATACTGAAAAACACTGATTATAGCAAGGCCAATTTTATTGCCAAGAAAATACAATAGGATCCCAATATCTCCAAGCTCCCGCCCCCTCTGGATACCGAAAAACACTGATTATAGCAGTGCTATTTTAATAGCAAACACTATGTACAGTGGTGCCTCGCTTAGCGATCGCTCCGTTGAGCGATGAAATCACTTTGCAATGGACTTTTGGCCATCGCTGGAGCGATTGCATAGTGATGTCCTCTATGGCTAAAATTCGCTTTGCGATGATCGCCGCTGTTTTGCCTCGCTGTAAGAGGCACCCAAAATGGCCACCGCTATGGAGGAATTTCGCTTTATGGTAAGTTTTTAGCCCATAGGAAAGTATTAAACGCGTTTTAATACGTTCTTATGGGCTTTTTAAAATCGCTTAGCGATTAAATCACTTAGCGATGTTTTTCCCGGAATGGATTAACATCACTAAGTGAGGCACCACTGTATACTGTAGCATGATCTCTGGCTCCCTCTAGTGGTCCATTTTAGTAACGTCATCTTTAGAAATATATATTTCTAGGATTTTTTTCCTTTTCATATTTTCAGACCGTGGATAAGTGAATCAGCGGATACTGATCCTACTGTATGGCTTTAATGTTAGCATTCTCTTTTCCTCTCGCTCCCAAGTTTATAATCATTTAAAATTATTTGAGGCAGAACCTCTAATCTTTTGCATTCTATGCAGTGCATAGCTTGGGGTAATTAGTTTAAGAGCCCTTTCCAAATAAATTATCAAAGTCTCAAAGGTTCCCTTTAAAATGTAATTTGCTTCCATTGTGGGCCAAATTCTTGTCTGTTTTCAGCATGTCCAACAGCTCCCTGTGTATGCAGTTATCTTTTTCCCATAATTGCACAAGAAGGGGAGGTTTCAGGACCCCCCTTGCACACCCATGTGCCCCAAGGTTTTCTATGGGATGATCTTTGCCTCGCATCACTCTGAGCTGGAAATTGCTTGAGCAATTGCAGAGTGTGCTGTCTGTGAAAAGGTTTCTGTCCATGGCCTTTAAAAAGTCATTTTATTCAACATGGTTACTCACTGCATTTAAATAATAATCACTCCTCATTTTATTGCCTGTTGCTCTTTAGTTTAATTTTTATCACCTAAAAAATCCCTCTAAAATGGATTAAAAATGGGCAGCACACCTGACAACTTCCTGTTCTAAAATGCCTTTCAAAGGTACAGTGGTGCCCCGCATAGTGACGATAATCCGTTCTGAAAAAATCGTCGCTATCCGGATTCGTCGCTATGCGGGACTAAAAACCCCATAGGAACGCATTAAAACACGTTTAATGCGTTTCTATGGGGAAAAACTCACCGCTATGGGGAAAATCCTCCATCTGGCCGCCATTTTCACTGCCTGTTAAGCGAGGGCAGGGCGCGAAAACGCTGCGGACGGCCATTTTCTTCACCCAGCGGCCATTTTGGAACCACCGATCAGCTGTTTGTAAAACATCGCAATGCGAAGATTGGTAAGCGAAACGCTTACCGATCATCGCAATGCAATTTTTAGGCATTGAGAACATCGTTATGCGATCGAAAAAACGATCGCAAAAAACGTGTTGCTATGCGGATTCGTTGTTAAACGGTGCGCTCGCTATGCGGGGTACCACTGTAATTTCAAAAAATAACTAGAAAACATTATTTGTTACACCCAACAATGGGAGAAATAACTCTCTTGGACTACAGCTCTCAGAAGACTCCACCAAGCAGGCCACTGGCTGGAACCTTTTTGGGAGGTACAAATCCAAAAAAACTATGTTTTCCATTTCTGATACGCCAGGATAGTAAGTTCATTCCCACCTGCTACATGGCTTTGAAAGGTAGTTTCTTTATTACCCTCACTGCAGAAAAGGAAGCAAAGAAACCCACAGGCTGAAATCCTGTTGCATAGTTACACAAACAGTGTAACTCTTGGAAGTGAACTGCCATAAGTCAATAAATCTCTGGAGGCATTATCCGTTGTATGCCGAGTTGCAGGACTTGGCATGCAACAAGTAACGCCTATGGAGATTTCTTAACTTACCGTATTTTTCCATTTATAACACACCCCTGTTTATAAGACACACACCTAATGGATTAAAAATGGGCAGCACACCTGACAACTTCCTGTTCTAAAATGCCTTTCAAAGGTACAGTGGTGCCCCACATAGCAATGATAATCCGTTCTGAAAAAATCGTCGCTATCCGGATTCGTCGCTATGCGGGACTAAAAACCCCATAGGAACGCACGTTTAATGCGTTCCTATGGGGAAAATCCTCCATCCGGCCGCCATTTTCGCTGCCTGACTTCTGACTGCAGGAAGCCTGTTTACAGAGGCAAGGTATGTGCGTTCTCTCCTCAGCTAGCTCAGCTTACTTCCATGTAAAAGACGCCCCTCAATGTTTAGTGTAATGATTTCAGGAAAAAGTAGTGTCTTATACATGGAAAAATACAGTATGTCAATTTGCGTCTAAAAGTTATAGCATTTGTGTAAATGCAAAACAGGATTTCGGCTATAATTTCAGCCCTGTAAATTACTGTAGTTCAAGTTTATGTTGTCAGAAACACAGGCAGCTGCTTATTACCAGCTTAAACTATTTTTCCATCTGGCCCAGGATTGTCTACTTCCACAGGGTGATTGTGCATCCTCCGGATGATGGGTGTTGTAGTATCACATATTTGGGAGGCAGCAGGTGGGGAAGGGTTAGTTTACTCCAACTGGCCATGGCTCTCCAGCCTGGTTGCCAAAAATCCTTTGATTCCCATGTCATAAAGAAATGGAGAAGGTTTTTCTCTCTAGTCTTTCTCTTCTTTATTGTTAGGAAGCCGGGCAGCCTGATTCCGTGTGTGCTTTTTCTCCTCTCTTTTCTTTCTTTAATCGGACAATTAATTACAGAACTTTACTCCTCCGAACAGTTTTTCCATGCATAAATAGGATGAGTGCTGGGTGCTCTTCACCGTTTTCTGACCAATCAAAAATGTAATTTCCTTTTCTCACAATCATTAGCTGGCTTTCAACTCTTTCCAGCTGCAGCCTGAGGACTGGACATTTGATTGTGTGGTCCTCTAAATCAAAATGTCCTTGCACACGGAAAACTAGACTGCCAGGAACCCCTTCTTCCTGACATCCTCGTTCCTTGTGCGTGCATGTGACTTAAAAATAAATAAATCAGGAGGGGAGGGAAACAGCCTTCCCATAGTTAGCTTCCCACCTACAGACTGAAGTGGTACAGTCCCATCAGAGATCAGTCACGTGGTCCTGCCGATGGCCTATTTCTGCTTGGAGAAGTCTGAAGGCAGCAAATTTCCCTTCTTTCACAGCATCGGCAAGGGTTCTTGACCCAGATGCATTCTCTGGTGCTTCACGAAGTAAGAGCTGGTGGTGAAGCTTTTCCCACAGAAGTTGCATTTGTAGGGTTTCTCCCCAGTGTGGGTTCTCTTATGAAGGACAAGATGGGCCTTGCAGCTGAAGCCCTTCCCGCAGGCAGTACAGGTATACGGTTTCTCCCCTGTGTGGGTCCGCTCATGGTAAAGGAGTGCCGAGCGTTGGCGAAAGCACTTCTCGCACGTGGAACACTTGTAGGGCCTCTCTCCCGTGTGGATCCACTTGTGCTTCACAAGATCGGAGCTCCGGTGGAAGCTCCCTCCGCAATCCGAGCACTTGTACGGCTTCTCTCCCGTGTGGATCCGCTCGTGTTTCACGAGGTCCGACCTCTGGTGGAAGCTCCTTCCGCAATAAGAGCACGTGTGGGGCTTGTCTCCCGTGTGGAACCTCTCGTGGACGATCAGCTTGGACCGCTGGCTGAAGCATTTCTCGCACGTGGTACATTTGAACGGCTTCTCGCCGGTGTGGATCCTCTCGTGCCGGGAGACGTCCGAGTTCCGGTTGAAGCTCTTCCCGCAAAAGGAGCACTTGTACGGCCAGTCCCCCGTGTGCAGCCTCTCGTGGGCGATGAGTTTGGTAATCTGCCCAAAGCTCTTGTCACACACGGAGCATTTGTAGGGATTCATCCCCAGAGGAAACCCCTGTGGCCCGAGGAGAACCGAGCCGGGAATGAAAGCTCCCCCACAGTTTGAACACAGCGACTGCTTTCCTCCGGCAGAGTTTCCTTCTGTCCCTTCTGGGTTGTTTTCCTGTGAAGCCCTTGGCCTGTCGTGGCTCTCATTGGTGTCCCCTGTGTTGCCGAAACTGCCGACGGCTTCTGGGGCTCGGAGCGACGTCAACCCATGTGGATCCATTTCCTGAGGATCTTTCCAGTCGTTACCCTCTTTTTCACTCACCAGCCGATCAACTATTGGGAGAGGGGGGGAAGAGAGAGAGAATCCAGACGCGTCAGTCTTTGTGCCCAAGCTGTGGGGAGATTCTGGAGTCTATTTCTGAATTATAATGGTGACTTGCTAGAAAAGTTATCTTTTCTCTTAATCATGCCTTGTCGTTCCCTGTCATAACAGACGGCTCATCACTCTTTTCAAACAAAAGTGTGACCTCCTGGGGATTTCTTTTCTTGACTACTGAAAATTACTTCTCTCTCTGTGCCACTCTTCTGCAGGTCTGACCCAAGATATTGCGCTGCCTGAGGCAATGCAGAAAAGAGGCCCCCCCCCAATGTTATCAATAGAGTCTTCAAGGCCGCTTGAGACAGAAATTCCCACAAGCCTTCTCTCCATCTTCCTGACAAGGAAGCAGCCACACTATGTTACTACCGAATAATTTGCCACCTTTTAACGATACCTAAATTCACCGCCTGAGGTAAATGCCTCTGCCTAATGGCAGGGCCGGCCCAGATTCCTCTACCTCAGTCTCTTTATTTCTATCTAGCACTGCAATGCTAAAGTAACCCTAACCCCTTCCTTGCTCTGATTACATGAAACAAACCCTCAAATCTCCATTCTTGTTTCCCATCTTCTCCTAGATCTGGCACAGACCCCTTGTCCTTTCCTTCATAACTGCCCATGCCTTATTTATTTATTTATTTTTCAAATATTTTTACCCTGCCTTTCTACTTAAAAGGAGCCATGCTTTCCTCTCTCCCCTCCAGACTCCTATTTACGTCTCTGTGTTGACATTCCAATACATCATCATCAATGACCTTCATAAGTCCACGTCAATGGTGGTGGCTGCTGCCTCGGGTGGCAAGATTTTTGGGTGTGTGTGTGTGTGGAAACCGCACTGTCCGTCCTGTCAGCTATTCCTCCTTCATAGCCAGTCCTCATTTCCGGAGGACAAAACTGTTGTTGACGCTTAGTTCTGTCCTGCAACAACCGATCACTTGTAACAGTGGTTCCCAGCTTTGGGTCACCCAGGTGTTTTTGGACTACAATTCCCAGAAGCCTTCATCGTCGGCAGTGCTGATTGAGGATTCTGAGAACTGTAGTCCAAGAAGACCCAAGGTTGGGAACCACTGATGTGTACCATCTGCTGCTCTGTGGTGCCTGACACTATCTCCATGCGGAGATGAAGAAAACACCACCTACCAGTCCAACCCACTTCTATATGTGGAATGGATTTTGCCGTTTTCTTTGGAAGGAGTATACCTCGGGCTAGCCCTGCCCAGGTATACCAGCTCAGACATGTAACCCATAATAAGCAGATTTTTTTAAAGTTTCCTTTTTTTTTTAACGACTCCATCAAATTACCAAAGCTACTGAGGATTCTGGAAGCGATCAGTCCCAAAGAAGACAAGCTTACCTGCTGAGTGATCATCCTCCCTGGCCTCTTCCTTGACCAACCTGCCAAGCGGGCCCTGGGCAGTGTTGCTCGACGCCCGCTCGCCGTCAGGGAAATTCACAGTCACCACGTGGAACATCCCTGGACCCTGAAAACAAACAGTGAATTCTTTTTTTAAAAAAAAGAATGAAAATCCCTACAGAAGCTTCGGAAGCCCACATCAACAGAAGAGGTCAAAATCAGTGAGTTGTTTTTACCATCACTACCTATAACAAGCTACAGTACTTTGTTGGAAAATAAGGAGAACACAACACTAACAGGAATTTTTATAACTGGCAATTCTGTTCACAAGCATTCCCTCCTCTCTCTCTCTCTCTCTCTCTCACACACACACACACACACACACACACACGCACGCACGCACGCATGCAAACGCACACGCGCACACACACACACACACACACACACACACGCACGCACGCACGCATGCAAACGCACACGCGCACACACACACACACACACACACACACCCTGCTCTGTCACATTCCAGTTACAAGCATGGTAGCTCTTCCCTGTCGATAAATTCTAAAAGGCATGGGCGTGCCTTCACATTTGATTGTCTTGGTGCACAATTTAAATTCCAGACAAGAAGCTACTGCCAGGGCAGAGTACGGAGGAACAGAATAGTGTCCCACAGACAAACGTGTCAGGCAAAAGTGCATTGTATCTCCCTCTAGACTCAAATCAAGGACTGAAAATTAGTGGAAGATACATTAAAAATGTAAAGTACGGAGATTATACTATATTAATCTGACGTTCCAAGGCATGTGAGATGGCCCCACACACCCCTCACTAAAATCCTGTTGCCTGGTGTATTAAGTCACACCTAGAGTAATCCCATTTCAATGGAACCCAAGGAGGAATGAACTCATCAAATCGCCACTGATTCAGTAGGCCTAACTCTAGCTGCAACTGACTGTGCCAAACAACGGGATTTCAACCAGCGATTTTTCACAGCCAAGCCAAGATTTGAACCCAGTCCAACACTGGGTGTTTCAACCTTTTTTAAAGCTCAATCCCAAAGAATTAAAAATATTCAGTGGTGCCTCACTTGACGACGTTAATTCATTCCAGCGAAATCGTTGTAGAGCTAAAACGTCGTCAAGCGAAACAAAAAAGCCCACTGAAATGCATTGAAAACAATGGGCTGAATACCTGCCCAGCGAAGATCCTCCATAGGGGCGGCCATTTTCGCTGCCTGTAGTGCGAAAAATGCCTCCTATAAACAATGGGGAGTCGTTTTGAGCAGCTGGCGGCCATTTTGAAACCCCGACGATCAGCTGTTTTGATCGTTGTAATGCGAAGAATCGGTTCCCGAAGCAGGGAACCGATCGGCGCAAAGTGAAAAAAAAAACATTAAAACATTGTTTTGTGATCGCAATTGCAATTGCAAAAACATCATCGTGAAGCGGATTCGTCGTTATAAGGGGTAATCGTTAAGTGGGACACGATGTATGCAATTTTTTTTTAGATTGTTAGGTCTTTTTTCCTCACAAAAAGTGAGGAGAAAAAGAGAATTAGAGGGGAAACAATTACAATTTAAAAAAAAAACTACTTCAAAGAGAATTGATTTTAAAATCCTTATGTTCCTATCATGTCTTGAGATGGGAAAAATCACCAGATATTTAGATGTGTCTCTGTCAGGTGACACACAAGTATAGTATCTGGCATGAACCTGGAATTATCACTATGCTTGCTTGAAACAGAGAAATCAGCAAAATTCAGGTCTTCATCACTGGGAAACAAATTCACCATCTGGTGTGATGTTCACAGTCTTCTTTAGGGAATGAATTGGAAAAACCCTATTTGTTAGAATAATGGAGTTGGAAGGGGCCTATAAGGCCATCGAATCCAACCCCCTAGTCAGTGCAGAAATACAAATCAAAGCAGATCCGATAGACAGTTATCCAATTTCCTACTAAATATCTCCAGCACTGGAGGGCTTATTACCTCCCAAGGTAATTGGTTCTTTTGTCAGTTAAGAATTTTTTCTGATATTCAGCATAAATCTGGCTTCTTTTAGCTTGAGCCCATTATTATGTGTCTTGGTCATACCAGCAATGTAACTTTCAGCCACTAATTGCTGCAAGTGACAAAGCCAGCAGAGGGAATTTCCTATCAAGATACCAGATGCACAACTTAGCATGTAATAGGAAATGGCAATGCTATATCTTCATATCCTATGGCAATTTACTGCTGAAAGTTACATCAGTGGTGTTTATACCACAACTAAGAGAATTTTGGCTAGGGAGCAAACAGACAATGCCCATACTGAAAAGGCTGGAGGTAATTTTGGATGCAGCAACAAGAAAAAGAAAATACAATCTTAAATCTTAGAACTGCAGAGCTGGAAGGGATCTTCTCAGTCATGAAGTCCAGTTCCTGTCAAGGAGGCCCAGTGGGGAATCGAACTCCCAACCTCTGGCTCTAAACTCCTGAGCTATCCAGCAGGTCAGATCAGTAAAAGAACAACTCGAGTAGTTTTGTCCAGCAGTTTTTTTTGGGGGGAATGGGCCACAGCTTCAATCTCACTCTCTCTTTTTAAGAAGAATTTATTCATGTGTTTTAAACTGCCAGAAGTTGGGAGTTCAATTCCCCATTATGCCTCCTGCAACCAACCTCTGGCTCTAAACTCCTGAGCTATCCAGCAGGTCAGATCAGTAAAAGAACAACTCGAGTAGTTTTGTCCAGCAGTTTTTTTTGGGGGGAATGGGCCACAGCTTCAATCTCACTCTCTCTTTTTAAGAAGAATTTATTCATGTGTTTTAAACTGCCAGAAGTTGGGAGTTCAATTCCCCATTATGCCTCCTGCAAAACACAGCAAGCCTGGGTGGCCTTGGGCAAGCTGCACAACCTCAGGGCTCCTCCTAGAGGAAGGGAAGGGTAAACCACTTCTATGTATTCTCTATCTGGAAAACTCTGAAAAGGGTCACCCTAAGTCAGGACGGACTTGACAGCACATGATTACTTATATTAAACTGCTTATTTTTACAGCTTGAACCTGGGAGTCACTCCAGCATTCCAAGGAGGGTTCAGAGCCGCCATTTTAATTTCCCACAATGCCCCTCCATGTGTCCAGTATAATCCCACTACAGGGCATTGAAGGACATTAACATGGAGGTTCTTGGGCTAAGCTGTTTCAAATGGAGCACCAGGATGGGCCCAAGACATTTTGGTCCCTGAGGGGAAGGGCAAGATGGCGCCACACGCCTAGTCCATGCACAGAAGGCGAAATGACTGGCCGATGAATCTTCCTCCATGCTGGCAATGAGATAGCCTGCATAATTAAACTGTAAACCACCCATTCATTCATTCATCCATCCAGCTGCCAGCCTGGTCGGCTTCTGGTCTTGGAACAGAAGAGGACTCATTTAAACCCCTTGCCTCAGGCAGCAAAATGTCTTGAACCTGCTGTGTTCTCCCGATAGTCCCACCTGGACTTCACGTGCTCTCACCTTCTGTTCCTGCCTCCCATCCTCTTGGTGCCTCAGCAGGAAATCTTCCGCCAGAGCCACCGCCTGAGCGCAGGTGTGGGGCTGGCATTCCCGCACCCAGGTCCCCATTCCCAGAGGCAGGACGGCCAGGAACTGCTCCAGGATCACCAGCTCGAGGATCTCCTCCTTGGTGTGCCTCTCCGGCTTCAGCCACTGGTGGCCAAGATCCCAGAGGTGGCTGCAGACCTCGCGGGGCCCCTCAGCCTCCTGGTAGAGGAACTGTCGGAAACGCCGGCAGGGGGGCTCCGGGCTAAGGACCTCTTCGCCATCCATTTCCTCCTTCACTTTCCGTGGCTTCGAGATGGCCGTCTGTGTTGTTTGGTCAAAGCCTGAGGGCTGCGGCTGCAAGAACTGCCTTTCCAGGGGCTGCTGGCCGGCCGTAGTGGCCACCCCTTCAAAATGGGTTACGGGCACCCTCATGTCCCCCCACGGCGTAGCTCCTGGCAGCTGTCTCGTCCCCCATCCTGGACGGGGAGACTGGACACCCCCTAAGAACTGCTGCCATTGGGCTTCCCAGCGATGCGACAACAAGCCATCCTCCGGTTCTTGTTTAATATGTTGAGGTCCCCTCCATTCCAGGTTGTGTCCATCTGCCCTGTTCTGGGCGATGTTCGGGCTTTCTCTTGGTCTCTCCCATTCTGCCTCAGACTTCAGGCTGGCTGGTTCCACATCCTCCATTTTCATAGCCGGATTGACTCCTTGGTCCAGTCCAGCCTGGTAGTGGAGATCCAAGGGCGACCGATCTCTCTGCTCGGCAGCCATTCTACTTCCCAAAGTGGGTGCTTCGCCCCTCTTCTCTCTTTGGCGGCTATTGAAATAGAAGTGCTTCACAAACTAGGTTTCAGATCTATAATTACATCACTTTGAAATGGGTTATTCCGTAGGACGTTTGGGGCCACCTCCGTGATGATACGTATTATTTTTTGTTGTTGTTGTTGTTGATCTGCCACGTTCCTCCCTGGAAAAATTCAGATCATCTGGAAAAAAAATGTCTCTCCTTGATGAACCAATGGCTTTTTTTTCTCTCTCCCTGAGGAAAGTAAACACAGACAGGCATAAAAGAAATATGCAAGAGTCCTGTACAAGCTACAGCTGCAGTGTTAACTCATCAGGAACATTCTCCGGAAGCTTTGTTTTGGGAGAAGAAGGGGATAAAAACATGTTTCAAATAAAGGAAATGAATGATAAAATAAAGAAGTGAAATCTGACACACAGTATGAGCTCATGAGTCGTTACCTACGAGTATGTTCTCCTCTTTCTCTCTCCACATCAGGAGAGCTGATTCTATAACACTAACAAGTTATTTATTTGTTTATGTACTGGGTGTTTATAGTGCCCACCTAGTGACATGCTATAACTCTGGGTGGTTTACAACATAAAGCATAAAAACACCCAACCTCACCCACCCAACAATCCGAAAATCAATTCTTCCCCCCCCCCCCAAAAAAAAGACACGGTGGCAGCCACAAAAACAAGATAAACACGTAACAAAAGAAAATAATGGTTGTTCTGGGTTTTTCGGGCTCTTTGGCCGTGTTCTGAAGGGCTCTTTGGCCGTGTTCTAAAGAAAATAACATGAGGAGAGAATATCTCAAAATGTTTCTCTGAAAAGCCGTGATTTCATTAGCTTTCAGAATGATGGGAAGGAGCCCAGTGCAACTCCTATGTCAGGGCGTTCCACAGGGTTGTGGCCACCACCAGGAAGGCCTGGTTCCTAGTCATCGTATTCTGGGCCTCCATTGGGGTTGCCACCTGCAACATCGGAGCTTGGGAGAAGCAGGTGGCATGAGCAGAAGATCTCAGCGAGGGGCACCCTAGGAACAACAAAGTCTCAAATCGTTGTCAACTTTAGTACCTTGCATTTGGCATGGAAGGAAACAGGCTAAAAGTGCAAGCAAGCTAAGACTGTGGAGATATGACTGAATCTCAAGTTGCCCAACACCAGCCTGGCTGTTGCATATTGCACCCGTTGCAGCTTTCATATCCTCTCCAAGGGCAGCCCCACATAGATAGCATTGCAGTAGTCAATCTCTGAGATTACCAAATTTCATTTTATGTGAACCCTGGCAACCAGGCAGAGTTCTGCACCAAATCTGATAATGGCTAATTTTATGAGGTGCAGGGCACGCCAGGTGGTACACACAGCATTCTCTGCCAGCCGAGACACAGAAAGGACAAGGTGGTTAATTCTGCTGACCCCCAACATCTGTTGCTTGAAGCAATTGGCTCATTTTGTCTAATGGTAGAACTGGCTGAAAAGAACTAGATGGAGTGTAGTCCGACCCTTTATTCCTTAGAAATACAGAGCAAATTCTGGTATGGAATAGACACGGTGTCCACGGAGGCACAGGGGTAGGAACAGCTTAGGGAGCTTGCTTCTCCTGATGAGAAAGAATTTAAGAATAAATCCTTAGAACTGCCTTTTTCCTCTTCCCTCCAGATTCCTTTTCCTCTTGCATCATGACTTTTCGAGAACGGCAGGTGGATTTCAGCTTCACCTTTCCCTTCTCTATTAGAAACCTGAGGCCCGGCAACTAAAAGCAAGAAGGGAAACGGCACAGAAACGAGTCCCCTGGGATGTGTTTCTTCCTTTTCAATATTTGTATACTTAACTCTTTTTAGCTTTAATGTTATACTTTAATAATGTAAGCTGTCTCTTTCTACTCATTGTTTGTAGCTTTAAATATTGGCTTTTCATGAAGTAAACCACCGTTGTCGATTCATTGTTTTCCGCCTGAAATATTGGCTTTCAATGTTGGTAGCTTTAAAAATTAGCTTTCAGTGATGTCAACCACATTGTTTTCAACTTCAAATGCTGTCTTTTTATGATGTAAGCAACCTTGGGTTCTTTTTCATAAGAAAGGTGGGGTGAAAAATATTTTAAATAAAATAATAATTTTAAAAATTCCAAGTGTTAAAGGTGGGGTAAAAAATATTTAAAATAAAATAATAATTTAAAAAAAATTCCAAGTGTCTGAGGAAGAAGATTTTGGTCCACAAAAGCTCAAACAGAAATCTCTTCATCCGTAACATGTCAAAATTTATCTTTTTAAAATTCTTTTCCCCCCTTTCTTGGCAATGCAGTCTAGACATACCCATCTAAAACAGTATCTTTCCACTGTTTCTCACCTACCTCCCTTTCATGTTTTGTTCTTGCTTGTTGGTGTGTCTAATATTAGACTGTAAGCACCCGGAGGCAGGGCCCTGCCTGGCTCGTCAAGTCTGATGGTGCTTTATAAATAATAATTACCAAAGAGCTTTTGTGCAAAAAAGAGAGAGGGGTAAAAGTCTTTTCCCCCCCTTTCTTGTTGGAGAGATTTGGAATTTGGCTATTCTCTTTTGATGGGGGAGGAGAAACAACCTGGAAGGATCAGCTCCATTTCATCCCTTCCTTCCATCCCTTGAAAAAAAGGGAAACAATCAGTCTGGATACTTGTTGGTAGAAGGAAAGGAAAACTTTTGCTTAAAGGACATGCTTTTTTTTGTTCTTTCCTATTCAGAATGGAGCTTCCTCTCCAAAGGTCTGTTCTTGGAGAGAAGAAAATGGAGGGGAAAAGGAAAGGCGGCTAACAAAGGAACAGCAGGAAGGAAAGAAGGAAAGGGGAGATCTCAAAGAATTCCAGGCATGGGGTGTGGGAACCTTATATTTGTCAGTGGCAGGTCGTATCTGGGCACTAGAAACAGACGGGTCATGCCCACCTCCACCCCCCAATATCCAGTGTTAAAGAAGGAGCACTGATTTTTTTTTTGCAACATTTATTTCTCTGCCCTGCTCTAAAAGATATATTCGGAGAGGGTCTCGATCTCCAGAAAGTGACGATCGGACTGTCAAGTGTCCGTCCCTGCCTTTCCTGCGCCCGATCCTGTACTGTCTGCCTTGCGCCCTTGGACCCCTCCCTTTCCCAGGGGAGAAAAGCAAAGGGAAGGAGGGCTGTCTTGCTTGCCCCAAAGCAATCCGTCCAATATGAACATCGCCCAGGTCGACTCACCCTCTTAGAAGAAGCGAGAAAGCCAAGGTCGGGGGAGCTGAAGAAGGACCCAGGGGCGTGCATGCAAAAAAAATAAAACAAAATTAAGATTAAAAATCAAATCTTCAGTTTGCAATGGGAAAGGCATCAAGTCCTCCCAGGCTGGCGGGGAAAAGAGCAGGAAGGGCCCCTCTCCACTATTTACTACCAGCTCTTCGTTTGGAGAAAAAACCTGTGTGCCATCTCTCTCAAGAAAAGTGCAACTCTATCGTTTTAACCCTTGGAGAGCAGATCCAAAGCCGTTACTAGGATGGCATCCGGGGAAGTTCCGATGGATACGCGGGGGCGCAACTTGAGATCGTTCCTTTTTTTAGAAGGGGAAGCAGCAGAACAGTTTCAAAAACAAAGTTGTAGTTAAAAAAAAACACTCCAGGGTATTTTAACTACTTAAAAAGTGGTTGAATCCCGGTATGGTTCCGTAGACTTTGTTGGCTACGGATGCTGGGCGTTGTAGTCCAAAAGTGGACATTTGCCACAAGGTCTCGTGTATGCTTGCATACGGGAGCCCAGAGATTTGAAGCGTTACTTCTTTTTTTTTTGGACAGCTCCACCACCCAGCCAGCCTTCCTCGCCGATTAGGGAGGTGCTTTCAATATAAGTTTAATAAATAAATAATAAATAAATAATAAATAAATAAAGCAAGACTGAGTGATGTCTGTTTCCCCCACAGAAACCTTTGTTGCACTGCAACTTTCAACACTGTTCTTGCACGGTGGGGGAGATGGGTAGGGCATTCTACCAATACCCTGTTTTAAAGAGAAAAAACAAAAACAAAACTATACAGAAATGTTTTATTCCTAAATAAATAACGGTTCATACAGTTGTTGTCAGGATAAAACAAGAGGATTATGTGTAGCATACACAGACCCTAACAGGAACGACAGGCTCAATGTAAACAGTCTCTGCAGCAACATAAGGGCTGGAATTGATTTTTCCTAGGAACCAAAGAGTTCGTAACAAAATAGGGGATGTATTCTCGAATGGTTTCACGGTGGCTGGAATTGATTTTTCCTAGGAACCAAATAGTAACAAAATAGGGGATGTGTTCTCAAAGGGTTTCACGGCCAGGATCTGATGGTTGTTGTGGGTTTTTCGGGTTCTTTGTCCGAACAACCTTCAGAACACGGCCAAAGAGCCCGAAAAACCCACAACCACCATCAAAATAGGGGATGATAAGAAATCATTCATCTGAGAACTGGAAACACCCAGACATGCGTTTTGACAATACCGCACACTGTTTACGTAAGGCAAGACTTCTCAAAATACAAGCCGAAAGTTACCTTGGCTTGGAGAAGGTTTGTACGTAACGGTAAAACAGGTTTTGGGTTTGCTGGTTTCTGAATTGTTGTTAACTGTGTTCACATTTCACAATAAACAATGATGCAGTTTGTTGACATTTGGCATGTAAACCCATCTTCTCCTCAGAAGCCATGGTTTGTTAACCAGCTGCAAGCCACAACCTGAACCCAAACTTCCTTTTTTTTGTAGATGTAGAAGAGGAAGCCATGTTAATTTTTTAAATTACATTTTTACTTTTATTCTTTTTTCACCTATTAAGTTTTTTACAGGGTCTGAACATGCAACTGTAGATTATTTTTAACCTTTTCATCCCAGTTCCTCAATCCTGAAACAACAGGTGACAAAAGGTACATTGGTGAGGGTGTATGGTCCAGCAACCATGAGAAGCAGCTTCCTTTGCTAATAGGAAGTTAGGCCTGTCCTCGGTTCTGAAGGTTTCCAGTCAGGCCTTTCCTCCAGGGGAGCAAAATACAGGTTTCTTTAGGTATAGGGCATGGCAGGCAGAACTCTTAGAATGAAGAATGTGTTTGTCCAAAAACAAACAAGAGATATATCCGTTTGCCAAATCTTGGTTTCCTGAGACATCCAATGTTCCAATCATACCTAAACCTATTTTGACGAACAAAACATAGTTTATGAACCAGCAACAAACTGCAGTTAAAGGCAATGAATACTTTTTGACTTTAAAATTCTGGCTTATTGTTATGGCCAAACATGCAGCCATGGCTTATTCTTGATGGCTTTCCTCAGCTGAAATTCTGAAACAGGAGCTTAGAAAAGTAATGGGAGAGTAACAAACCTGAAGTGGAGCAAACTCTCTGTGCTTTGTATTCTTGAAGGCTTCCACGGCCGGGATCTGATGGTTGTTGTGGGTTTTTCGGGCTCTTCAGCCATGTTCTGAAGGTTGTTCTTCTTAACGTTTCGCCAGTCTCTGTGGCCAGCATCTTCAGAGGACAGGAGTCAGAACTCTGTCTGTTCTCTGGTGCAGTTTGTTTGGATAGTTGAGTATTAATCCCACAGCTATAAATACTCAACTATCCAAGCAAACTGTACCAGAGTACAGACAGAATTCTGACTCCTGTCCTTTGAAGATGCCGGCCACAGAGACTGGCGAAACGTTAGGAAAAACAAATTTCAGAACACGGCCAAAGAGCCCAAAAAAACCACAACAATCATCTCTGTGCTTTGTTGAAACAATGGGCGCTCAAAACAACAAACCATGGCTAACATAAACCATGGCTTAGAGCAGAGGGGAAGCAAAGTGTGCCTCTTCAGATGTCGCTGGACAGCATCTACCATCAGCCTTCACCACCAAAGCTTGGTTGAACAACAGGGAAAACTTCCTAATTGTTAAAGCAGGATGACAAGGGAGCAAATTACCTCAGGAGATGGTGAGCAATCCAACACTGCTTTGATTTGTATTCTTGCATTGATCAGGGGGTTGGACTCAATGGCTTTAGAGGTTCTTTCCAACCCCATTGTTCTGTGATTCTGTACAGTAAAAGCCAGTTGTGAGGAATGCTGGGAGTTGTGGTTCCATAATTGCTGCCTTAGAGTGACATAATGCAGCCACTGAATATATTGTTTTAATTTAAATTTTATTTTATTGCCATTTTACAGAGCCATAGCAAGTGCTTAAAATAAAACCCTTCTCATCATAGTCCATGTGACATTGTCGTCGTTTAGTCATGTCTGACTCTTTGTGACCTCATGGACCAGAGCACGCCAGGCCCTCCTATCTTCCACTGCCTCCCGTAGTTTGGTGAAATTCATGTTGGTTGATTCGATGACACTGTCCAACCATCTCATCCTCTGTCGTCCCCTTCTCCTCTTGCCGTCACACCTTCCTAACATCGGGGTCTTTTCCAAGGAGTCTTCTCATGAGATGGCCAAAATATTGGAGCCTCCGCTTCAGGATCTGTCCTTCCAGTGAGCACTAAGGTTTGATTTCCTTTAGAATGGATAGGTTTGTTCTCCTTGCAGTCCAGGGGACTCTCAAGAGCCTCCTCCAGCACCACAATTCAAAGGCATCAATTCTTCGGTGGTCAGCTTTCTTTATGGTCCAGCTCTCACTTCCATACATCACTACAGGAAAAACCATAGCTTTGACTATTTGGACTTTTGTTGGCAAGGTGATGTCCCTGATTTTTAAGATGCTGTCAAGATTTGTCATCATGGTCCTCCCAAGAAGCAGGTGTCTTTTAATTTCGTGGCTGCTGTCACCATCTGCAGTGATCATGGAGCCCAAGAAAGTAAAATCTGTCACTGCCTCCATATCTTCCCCTTCCATTTGCCAGGAGGTGATGGGACCATTGGC